ATTAATTGTTTTAATAACATGGTCTAAACAATCAGTATATAGAGCTTTAATAACATTTTTTAACAAGCTGTAAAAAAATATTTTTTAACAATCAACATAAGTTTTTTTAAAACAACTGTCTATAGAATAAAAATAAAAATAAAAATAAAAATAAAAAGCTGGTGTCCACTTCAAAATCTTCTATTAGATCGCAAGGAAAGAGCATACGTTACTTTCATGTACATATGCAAACACGTATCCATCATCAAATCTTATAATTAATTAATGCACCATTTTAAATAACCAATATTTAAGCAGACGTGTAATGCGATAAGCAAATTACGTTTACAGATTGAATTATTGTACAGCAAAATCAAATCAAACTGATCAATTAGGGTTTATAACAAACAAACAAACAAACAAGAGCTAATTTACATAAAGTTAAAATTACACGAAACATAGAATATACCTTTGATTAAACATGAAGATATTACAATATTAACTCATAAAAACCTAAAATACGCTAGTTGAATGGTACTAAACTCAATATTTTTATTGAAGATGATTAATCATGTTTTTTAATTAAAATTAGTCATCAATAAAATTAAAAAATATTTCTAGCAGTAACATAATTATAAAAAAGAAGTGAGAGGAACATAAGAAAGGGGAGTAGCTAGTCCACCATGAGTGGGGTCCTTAACGGCTAATACCTGTCGGAAGGAACAATAGAGAATCATGGATGCCAACTTTGTTTAAAACGCGTGGGCTCCATTACTCAAAGCAATTAAGATTAAGAAAAAGAATTTAAACAAATTAATAGGGAAAATGGGTCACTAAGAAAGAACCAATCTTTTTATTTTTATTTTTATTTTTATGTCTTTAGGTGGGTCGTCAATTCCATCACCAATCATATCATATTTTGATGATCTTTGGAATCACAAGTAGTCGTTAACACAAAAGATGGGGCCCAGCTAATTAAAGTTACTATTAAATTGATTCAAATATTAAATAATTAAAATTGTGAAGGCTAATCCCTAGATGTGTTAGCAAATTATGACATTGGTAACCTCTTCTTGTAAGCAAACTCTACTAGGATTATGACTTCAACAAGACCATCTTTGACAGACATGATCGATGTGATTTATATAAAGATATTGATATAAAGGTTTTTATTACTTTTTTTTTTTTGGGTGAATTCAATTGCTTTTTAGTGGGAAAAAAATAAAAAACACTAATGATATATACATATAAAATATATAATGTAAATAATAAAATTCAATTTTTAAAAATGACAACCAAAATGATTATTTAAATTTTAAATTAGTGCTTATTTAGAAATTTTCAACAATGAAAAACCTATTAAAATATTTTTTAAAAATATGTAAAAAAGAAAAAGAGAGAGAAAGAGAGAAGCAATTATCTCTATAAAATAACTAATTAAAATGCATCATTAAACTTTTGTGGAGAGGAGAAATTAAAATTTTACATAATTATTTGATAATAATGTAAAATCTTTTAAGTTTTCATATTATCATAAATTATTATATATAATTAATTTATTAACTTATATAAAAATTATTTTTAAATTAATTTAACCATTAAATTAAAAATAAATGAAATTCTAAATAATTTCTAACAAGCTAGTCTCAAAATGGTTAAAATAATATCGAATTAACTAACTACTAACTAACATCACATGGTCGACTAAATTTTTTGTTATATTTTTTTATTAAAGAGTAATTTGAAATTTTTTTCAATTAAAAAATAATCACGGATATAAAGTAAGTTTTAATTTTGAAGGATGAAAGGTGATTTAAAAAAATGTGAATTGAGAGGGTTTTGGGTCTCGAAGTGTACGAAAACGACGGCCCGTTAGTTTGTCGTATTATGGTGAGCAGATCACAAGTTAGATTGTTAGTTAGCATTGCTTGGATACTGCCGCGTGGCCCAATTTGATTTCCAACAATCCAAAAGAGCATGTTTTCCCTTGCCTTTTTCTATCATGGGAATGTCAATTCTACCATATCAAGTATATTTATAAATTCAAACTAATTAATGTTGTGATAAAATTACTTTTTTTTTCTTTTTTAGATTTCACATGATATGTTGTTAATCTAAAAGATAATTATGTTGAGTTGAATAAAACTGTTATAGGGGATAGAATTTTTAGAATAGTTATAATGGAGAGTGTTTATTGAATTTTTTATTAATGATATATTATCTTTTAAAAATATTTGTATCGAAGTAGATGACATGACAATGTGTATTTTAGTTGAGTTACTCAAATAAGCAAGGATTTTTAAAATAAAAAAAATTATTTTTTATGAGAGAAGTGCTACAAAAGAGAATATGATTATTATATGCGAGAGAGAAAGTTATATATTAGAAACCAAAAATTGAGGATAAGAACACATTTGTATTTGTGTGAAATTTGATATAAAAAAAAAAGTTCTTAAACTTATATGACATTGTAAGACTCATAAGAATAGGATGAAGTAACTCATTTACTCAACAAAACATTCGACATGCTTTTATAAGAATATATGACATAATTATACATTTAAGAATTAAATTAAATACTACTAATTAGTTGCAATAATTTAATATGAGTTGATCCATTGACTTGTAAATAAACTTTAAAATTATTACTATGTTTAATCATTGATTTAAAATTATAATTTATTTTCTAAATCACTAGTCAACTTAGTGATGAGAGTTAAGATGACACTATAAGGATTTGTTGGGAACAAAAAAAAAGATTTTTCTTTTACAATAACAATGATAAAAAAACATACTAAAAATAATACTAGAGTTAAAAAATTACACAAATTTATTTAACATGATTTGACCTCTCATACTTACAACTGTAAATATGCTCATTATCTCAAAATGTATAATTATGTTTATGAAAATCTTCTCTCTAAGGTTTATAGATAAAATTTGAAAACCCTTTATTAGAAATTTTACAAATAAAACTTTAAAACTCCTCATCGTAAATTTTGTGAATGAAATTTGAAAACTTCTCATAAATCTTATGGTTGAAGTTTGAAAATCTATTTTTGTATAATTTTTTTCATTTAAGTTGATGACCTTCTTTATAGATAATTTTTCATCTCAAGAATATTTATTTATTGACCTAATATTTTAGTTTTAAAAGAGAAAATAAATTCTTAAAATAAGTATAATATTTTTCATTTTTAACAATATCTTTCTATATTTAAATAATATTTTAAAAATTAAAATTTTAAATTTAAATTGATTTTGCAAACTAGCTCATGTTGATTTTTATTATGGTTGATGTATTTTTTTTTTTATCGATAAAAGAGAATTTTATTTTCTAAATTGCAGCTTGAGTCAAATCTGTTTTCTGTATTGGAATCTGTGGGTACATTAAGCAATTCTTCCATGTTCACGAGACTTGTAAGAGTCATCCATAAATTATTTTATTTTATTTTTTATTACTAAATGCTTTAATATTTTAATATTTGTCTCTTCATTTGCAAGACACTGATTAAAGAATACTCATGAACCATTTTTACATTTTATTTAAATTTTTCTACAAAGTGGAGGAAAAAGGGTACATGAAAATCCAGGTAAATATAATATAACAGAAGGGACATCATTGTCTAAACAAACACCAAAAGGAAAGGATTAGCAATGTTATTACGCATAAAAATTGAAAGAGGAGGCCCCACACGGTTTCTTCGTAAAGTCATTGGTTTATTGAAGAACATGGGATGATGCTATGATACTCACACAAAGCACCAAAGAAACTGTGGTATTGACTATTGAGTCTCATTGCACATGGTTGCACAATTTCGATTCGGTCAGAAATCACTTGTCAAGAAAAAGTTCACATGCCTTTAAGACCTTTAAAGCTCAAAATCATTTCTTGTGTCATTTTCTTTAATACTATAATCTTCTGTCTTCTTTTGTTGTTTTAAATGGGGGTCCAACTTCTTTGATGTAAAATATTCCTCACTTGGACCCTGTAATAAAAGCATCACGGGCTTGGATCTGGAGTTGTAATTGGAATTTCAGTAGAGTTCACCAAATGTTTTGGACAATTGGAACTATAGGCCGACATGTAATCCTAAGCACAGGATCTTGCAACCCTTCTGACCAAAAAATGATCAAGTAATCCTAAGAAACAGATATTGAAACAATAAAGGTAGCTCTTTTAAAGTTTAAACTGGTGATTCATTTACAAGGCTATTCCAACCAATAGGCAATAGTTATAGTTTTTTTTTTGGCAATTAGACAGGGAGTGTCTGGGCTCTCCAAGTATTTTCTGTCTATAATTTTGCCATTACAACGTGTCTATTCTGGGAATCTATTATGAATATTATTTAATCTTTGCATAAATCACTTAAAAGTCTTTGTTAACTTATTTTAATAACTTTTTTGGTAATATTCATTAAAATATTTTTTAATTTTTATTTCTATAAAATTTATAAACAAATTTGTAGCATAAAATTTAATTATTTTGTTTATCCAAAAGAACTTCAAAAGGAGAAGAAAATTGTATGTGGAATAGGTATAAGCCTCATATAACTAGGAAATAAAATCTTAGAGAAAACCTTGTTGTCATATCAGATTTAGTTCATTAAGTGACTCTTGTATATTTTTTAGTTTGTACTTCAGTTCCAAAGTCTTATTTGCTTGCTTTACCAAAAAAAATACAAAGTGTCACCAAAAAAAAGTCCTATTTGCTTTTTTTTTTTTTCATTTATTTTCACACGTTATTAATCCATCTGTGTTCTATTGGCAATAGATTGTGACATAAATATTCTTAGAAATATCATGCAAGAAAATCAAACTGTAGTTGAAGTGTTTAAAATAGAAATTTTACATTACATTAGAACATACAAATTATGATTTCTTTTGCTAAGTATAAAAAGTCACCAAAACCCTTTGAGACAAAGGGTATCGAAACAATCACCTAAGATTTGTGTAAAGTGACTGTTATTTTCGATTCATAAAAAAACAGTGATGAAAGGGGAAAAAAAATACTCGATGAATGATAGCCAACAAACTAGGATCGTAGTATACAACATTACTACTCAACATCAACATAGGATACAAAATGTTAAATGATTAAACAAAGAACATTAAATATAATTCTATCGGTTAATTAGCTTTTTATGCTAGTCTTCGCATCTTGACATTTAGAGGAATCTCCTTGTAAGATTGAACCTTCTGAACTGCTCTTCGCAAGGGTCTTCCGAAAGAACACCTTGGAGCTTCCCTCCTTAAAACAGTATTTTCTCCTCTTTCAGTTTTCGAAGTTGGAGATCTCAGTTTGTTAGGTCCAGATTGTGTGATAAGATATGTAGCATCCTCTAACTCGAACAAATTTTCTAGAGGTTCATGTTCATGGGTTTTGAACGTTGTAGAATGTCTCCTCAGACGTCTCCTATATACCCAAAAAGAGGAACTTACCATATTAACAATTTTTCTACAAAATTATTATCTTGTAATGTTAAGAATTTTTCTCAGAATCTGTGTATTCATCACAACTAAATAAGAGGAAAATATAAAATATGTTTCTTCGTAAGCTAAAATTAATTTATACATAAGATAATTTATAAAAGTTCTCTTTTCTGCAAATTTTTTTTAATAAATTTGTACATAAGTTAAATTTAACTTGAGAACAAACTTTATTTTATTTTTCCTTCATATTTTTTCTTCCTAGAAGAGTTAATGAAAGTTTATCGATCTAAAGAGTCGATGTAGATGTTGCTAAAAGTTAAAACGTGAACTAACCTATTGTCTTTAACTTTGTCTTTGCTTGTATTCTTGGAAGCAGTAGAAGAACCAGTAGCTGCAAAGTTCCATAGCAAACTTCAACAAACTTGAGAGAGAAAAATGTCAGAAAAATTTCCATGAAGGTACTTAGTTCCAGCATTTACATTTACTTCTCATGCGTCTCCTATTCATATTCTTATGTTGTTCATCGTTGCTAGCTTTAGGGGTTGGCTGCCCTGCTTTTTCATCTCCTTCCTTGAGCCAATCAAAATACAAGAAAAAGAATAAGGAATAACATTCATCAATGTCATCAATTTGGAAAACAATTAAGGGAAAGGTTTTAGCCCCAACACCTGTAACTGTGATAATGGTGGATTCTTTTCGTGGTCAATCTCCACTTTTTCCTGTAAAAATGAAGAGGAGGTCCGGTTCACATACGACGATAAGAGAGATTAAGGGGGAAAAAAGGAAGGGAAAGCATTGTTTATGGCCTATCCTACTACATATTGTGCATTGTTTGAGGAAGTATTGAAGACTGAGATGGCATAAAAACAGGATCACCAATGGATAACTTTTCCTATACACGTTATAAAGTTGAACATTTTTCGCCAACTCATGACTAAAAATCACAAAAAATCATCTGTTCTACACTCAATAAACTTGGCTCTGTATAATTGAATTACCCATTAAGGATATAAAGAAAAAGATTCAGCCCTTTCTAATTTTAGCCTTGTGCAAAATATGTTAGCGTTATCCCGAACATGTATTACTCAATAGAATTCTAATAAAATAAAAATTGAATGATACTCCTTGGATTATACGATTAGTTATATAATTATCAGTACAGATAGGGTACAATACTAAAGATTTTAAATTACGACATCAGATTAACTGTGTCAATTAACTTATTAATTGAGCCTTAATGAAACCATATGTGTAACTGCCTGAGGGTACACTCGTAATCTTCAGGGGAATATGAGGACCGAACGAGAGCTCTAGGTGGATTCTTCGGAGGGGGAGGTACCTGCAAAAGATACTCCGATGCTTAAGTCAGTGTGGGCACGATTTTCTAGGGTAATGAATGAACAGTGACATACCTTGTTACGTGTGACCTATTTATAGCATCTGACATGGGCCTGAGCGTGATGGGCCCTCTCAGATATTTACCAAATTAGGTAATACGGTACTAATTGGTCGTTTAGGCTTTAATCATGTACTTACCTTTCTTGATTGTGATTACTTGTTATGACTTGCTTAACCCTTCGGCAAGAGGCCGAGCCG